ATCGATAAATGGTGAATAACACAGAATATAACTTAAGTGGAAAAACTTTACCATTCATCTGTCTTCTCATTGATAACTTATTTATCGATCATGTAATCGATAATCTCTTACAAGAATAATGTCCCTTTGTTTGTCAGTTATTTGATCATCTAATTATCGATTAAGTGATCGATAATCTCTTACAAGAATAATGTCCCTTTGTTTGTCAGTTATTTGATTATCTAATTATCGATCAAGTTATTGATAATTTTCTGCAGACTTCTATACCAACATTGTTAACAATGATCAATCAATTGATCGATCAACATATAAAATTTTGAATTATCTATCAATTTATCAATCAAACTTAGTACCAACCTTCAAGTACATAAAGACAATTTATCTGACACTTGATCGATTATCTTTTGATCGATCAGGTGATCGATCAACATATTAAACCAGAACATACTTGATTTGTTATCATCAAAACCTTAAATCTAACACAATGATTGTGTTTGTGTTTTTCTGTGATTAATAAAAAATCTAGTTTTCTAAAAAAAATTTGAAAATTTGATTGATTTTTGAACTTAATTTGAAGATTTTGAGTCAACATTTTTGAAAACTTGTGCTTCAATTAACTTATGAATTTGTGTATTCTTGGACTTTGATGAATGTTTTTGAACTTTTATTGATACTCATGAGAATTGCTATTTGTTCAAAATTGATTATGCTAGTTTTATTGGTCACAATTCTTCAAGCTTGCTGTCATATTGACTAAGTTAATGTATTGTGATTAATTTGGAGTACAACTAATCTTTGTGTATGAGCATTTGAGATTTAGCCTTGTTAGAAGATTCTTTAAGCCTAATTTTCATTTACAATGTGCATCCACTTACATCTTCTATTTTCTGGAACTAGTTTTAGTCCTTATTCAAGGCTTAGTTGCATTAATGTTATGAGCATGAGAGGTATTCTTTTCTAAACCCGTACATCCCCAACACAAACCCTTATTATTTTACCCATTACTAGCCATTTGAGCATTTATCTTCTCTCAAGTGCCAAAGATGCATTGTACATTCAAGTCTCTAATACTTTACTATTACATTTATGATGCTTTAAACTTTGTCTTTTTGGGTTTGGAATTCCTAGAGAAAAAAAGAAAAAAAATTGAGAAAAGAAATAGAAAAAAGGCATACAAATAGAGGAAATTGTTTGAGAAAAGCCAAAGAAAGAAATATCGAAATAAAGTGGTACCAAAAGAATAAAGTTTTGAAATAAGGCAGTTTATTGGTGGTTTGAAAAACAAGATTATATTTCAAGAGAATAGAATAGATGTTAGTTGAAATTTTCTAAAATGCTCGGTGTTTAATCATTTCATATCTTTTCACTACATTCATTTCATTTAGCCTTTTCAATCATCATAATCTTGGAAGTTCTCTTGATCATTGCATTCATGCTTTAAAAGTAAAGAGGTAGGATTTTAACAAGCTTATGGTAAAGTAGTCGATTAAGTGGATTTAAGAGAGAATTACCCCAACTTGGTAAGTAGATTGAAATAATTTATACCTTGAGTGTTTTTCTCTTTTGCTCATTCCCATTGCATTGATTGTACTCCGCTTTAATCCCTTCTTATTAACTTGGATCACTATGATTGCTTGTTTGAAGAGTTGGGTTAATGGCACTATTACTCTCTTACTTTGAATTCATAAAGATTCCCATTTGTATCAATACTATTTGCTTGCTTTGGTTTTGTATTGCCTTTGTCTAGGAGTACAAAGGTTTAAGTGTAGGGGAATTGATTGAGCCTAATTCTTCTATGTTGTTTTATATCATTTTTAGGGCTTTTATCATAGGTGGCTCTTTTAGTGGTTATTGTGCTTAATTTAGATTAAGAGTCTTTGCTTTGAATTAGTATCTTTTGAGGATAAAATTGTTATAATTAGTTATTAATTATATTCGATTGTTCTAGGATAATTAATTCTTCAAATTATTGCTTTTCATTATAGGACACTTGAGAATTAGAGCTAAGATTAAAAACCTAGGGATTACACAACATGAGAACTAAGAATATTAACTCTGGAACAGTTCGCTGCAGCAAACATTTTGCTTCGCCATGGCAAACTTGTAGAAGTTTTGTTGGAGTTCCTCTCAGGATACTTTCCCCACGGCAAACATTTTCCTTTGCCGCAGCAAAGTCCTCATATCAGCAACACCAAATTTGGATCAGAATGTGAAAATGGAGCACCCATTCATATAATCCGACCCAAACTAACCCCTTAAACATCCAGAAAACCTTATTTTCAAAAAAACACTACATTCTCTCATCTCATACACCTCTATTCACTCATCTTCTTGCCTTTCCATCTCTATCTTCTTCCCATCTATTTCCTTCACTTTTTATCCATCCCATCTCATCTTTCTCTAATCCTAGCTGCTATGGCCGATGATTCTACTCCAATTGGAGCTGTTCCACCCTCTTGAAGATAGAAGATGGTGCTTGAGTTTCCAATCTCACTAGGGGGTTTTCTTATTTTATCCTTAGTTTAGCTATAGGTTTATGATTTCCTAGGTCATACAAATGGTAAATTATAGTTAAACTCTTTGATTATGATTGTAATCACTGCTAGATGATTAATTTGTGTTTTGGATTGGTTAATGAGGATTTGTGTTCTTCAATATATAGGATTGTGTGTGTGTGTATTCAATTTTGACTACTTGATTCCCTTTCATTCAGTATGATCATTTTAGTTGCTCTGGAAGAAAAGGGTTTTAATTGAATCTAATGCATTGACTAATTAGAAGTACACACTAAGAGGACTTCACAATGTCTTAAGGACTAGATTCATGAATTAAGACATTTGACTCAATGATATTTGAGGTTTGTCATTTAAGAAGCTTAGTGAAAATAAACTCCCATTATCTTTTATGAACAATGATTGTACTAATCCATTTTCAAGAGACTCATTATCATTAATTTTCATTCCATCATTATTTTATCAAAAATCCAAAATAATAGTAGCTTAGGTTTATTTTCATTGTATATACTTTAATCACAATTCAAATTAATCTTAAAAACCCAAACCCCTTTCATTACATTACATGGCATTTAGTCTAGTTTCAGTCATCAATGAAAGTTCCACGCGAACATGACCCAGATTGCACCACTATATTGCATCTCTTAGATCTTGTTATAAAACTCTTGTATTTGACTCCAAGGTGTAACGACACCGTCAGATCAGATGCGCTTAACTTGTATCAAAAAAATCATTTGTCTCTTTTGAAGGGTATTATAATTCTCATCAATATTTTATGAGGAAGAGAAATATTGCTTTTACATAAAAGTGTATCGAATTGTCTCACTGTTTCAGCACAATAGATCAAGAGTATCTTATCCTTCTCTGATCTAGCCTTCACTCATAATCAAGTTAATTCACTTTTGGCTCCCAGAAATTCTATGCCGTCCTAAATCTAGTCATTAATACTAATGGTAGGACCAACATACTACATGGAGCCAAAAATAGAAGATGTGTTATTCTTTGTCATTTCTAGATATTTTTGTAAGGTCATTCTCTTTAATACTTCTAGTGGGTTCAAATATAGAGGGGAATCATCTATTTAATTATAAGTGTCTTCGTTTCACTCTTTCCTAGATTATTAAATCCTCTCTCTGCTCTCCCAAGACTGAATCTCTATAGCTCTTGGCGTTAATTAAGCAATTAGCTTAAGTGGATTGCCGATGAAAGAATCAGGAAATATTGTCTTGGAAGATATTTTGACCTTTCTTCCTTTATTTGCTAATTCAAATGTAACAATAGTTAATCCTTCATATATCTTATGTAACTACTAACTTACTTTTCTTTTTTGGAAAAAGTGAGAGTAAATCTCTCATTACAAATTTAATTGGCAAATGGTTCCTAGAATGATTGATTATACAAAAGGAAAATTAGTGGTATATAAAGGAAGATAAGTTACACAAAGAGAAGATTGTTTGCATAAAATATTATTTGGATATAAGGGATTAGTTTGCGCATAAGGAAGATGACTTACACGTCAGAAAATTTCATTTGCATAAACGGAAATTGAGTTGTCCATCATACAAAGAAAGATTACCACACACAAAAAAGATAAATTACACGCAAAGAAAGTTAAGTTGCACACAGTAGAAGTTAAGTTGTATAAAATCCTCATATTCTATATGCTAATGAGAGATTTATCCCTAATTTTCTTTTTCCTTATGATGTATTTTATTTTTCCGTTATTATTGTCGTTTGGCTTTTTGTCCCAATAAAATAAAATAAAATACAAGAACAGATACCCAAACTCCCAAACCGGATGGGCCCGCAAAATTTTTCCCTTCACAGTAAATGCATCCTATTAGTCCCTCAGCCAATATACTTAGAAGTCACTGCAAATGGAATCTAGTGAGAAAAACTATGACATATAAGCCAATTGAAAGATTAGCATTTGCATATTTGTAAATGTGTGATTAGAAGTGAAAAAATTAAATGTGTTGATAACATTTAATTTGTTGAATAGAAACAAAAAAAAAAATTACAAAATACATGTTGAAATTTAAAAAAATAAATAGATCATGCTGACTACTATTATAATATGATTTAAATCATCCAGGTAACGGTTTAGACATATCAAAATCTGTTAAAATTACAGATTTATCATTTTAAAATTTATAGGTATGTTTTTTTTTTATTTTCCTTGTAAATAAACTGCATACATTTTTACACGAATATAAAAATTCAGATTAAATAATTTTTATTTATTGAGCGATGTCGGAGTCATTCCCTTGAGCAGTACTGTCACACGCGAACGCGCTTGAACTGGCAACGACATGGTCCGGTCAAACCACCGACCGCTACCCCAGATGCCCGCGACCGCCACGTGTCCGTCACTCTACCCCTGAAATCTCCTCCTCCACCGGTGGTTGCCGGTTTCGACGAGGTTGTCCCGCCCCCATTAAATCCCATGCCTCGTCTATTGAACGCATCTCCCAACACAGCGTTGCCACCTCCTTCTCCATCGGTTTGCTCTCTCTCTCTCTCTCCGCTTTCCTGCGCTCTTCGCTTTTTCGCTTTTCGCTTAAAATAATGAAAAGAAGATCTCATTTTTAGTTTGTTCGAGTTTCTACTTTACTTTCAAACCACCAATCAATAATTTTTCTTCGTTTATTTAGTTCACTCTTGGAATATGCTCTGCAGTTTCTCATTTTAGTTCAGTTTTCTGTGTTTTCTGTTGTTAATATTCATTCACTTGAAGATTGTTGTTTTTCTCTCTTGCCCTGCTCAGATATTGCTTTGAGTGTGTTTGCAATATTGTTGAAATTTTGAAAGTTGATTTCACTTTTCTGGGTGAGCATGCTAATCCAGCTTCTTTAATGCTGGTTTTCTGGGCAGAAAATTCATTTTTATTTTGTTTACTTAAGTTTATTTACCTTTTTCAAGGATCAAGGTGCGTATGACAAATTAAGATAGATAGGGAAAAGAAAAAAGAAAGTTCACTTCTGTGTACTGTGAGCCTAATTTTGGGATCTATGTTCATTAATGTCCTCGGATCAATCACCTAACTTTGTGCTCCAAATAAACTTTTGCCTATACTTCTGGTCGTATAATCTTAGATTCTTCTATGAAATTCTTGCTGCCCATTATACTTTTCTTACACGTTGCTTGATGGCCATTGTTGGAGTCAATGACTCGTGTTATGGTCCTTTATTGATGTTCTCAGTTCATGACGTGGGGGGAGGTTATTTTTCTTTGGGTTATTATAGTTATCAAAGGCATGTTTTTTATCCATCGTAATATTGATGATAAATGAATCTGACGTGTTTTTAGGAGGAGTATATAATGGATGAACACTTGGGGATTTTGAAAGTCATCGTTGTGCAAGGAAAACGATTAGTGATTCGGGATTTCAAGAGTAGCGATCCTTATGTTGTGGTAAAGCTAGGAAATCAGGTACCAAGGATGTATTGTTCATTCTTGACTTGTTTCACTTGACATTAACATTGTGTAGCATACAATAATCTCAAGTGTTGTCGCCAATCATTACACTGTATCAGACAGCAAAGACTAAGGTGATTAATAGTTGCTTGAGCCCTGTTTGGAATGAAGAGCTTAGTTTCACTCTGACAGAACCTGTGGGAGTTCTAAATTTGGTGAGTTTCTGGATATCAGATATCTGGGAAGGGCTGATTTCTATGCTTTTAATGCTTCTTGAATTTATAGATACTAATTAGAAGTTAGCATATTTGTTCTTGCCTTCATTTTCTTCATCGGTGTAGGTACTAATAACTCAACTACAATCTTCCTAGTAATCATCCCCATTGGATGTCTGGTTACATTTGGTTTATTGGGTCAGATACTGATCCCAACATCATAAATCGATATTTCGTTTGATTCTTATGATTCTTATGTGCTAATTCTTCAGCTTTGGTGGATTCTCCAGCTGTTGGCAAATATGTATGTCATAATTTCATAGTTTAGCTGACCAACCCCTTTTTTTGGGTTTTGTGGGACGAAACAAAAACCCTGTGTTTGCAAAATCCATATTAAGGTTGCCTAATCTTCATGTTCACTGTTCGCTTTTGCTAACCACTTTAGAGGATCATTTCGCATCAATATCCAAACCCTTTGATGTTGGTAGTATTTGTTTTTTCAAGTCATAATTGAAAGGAGCGACATACTGAAGTTCGAGGGTAGAGTTTGTTTTTGACATAAAGTAGAGATTTTTGGCTTTGGATGAGGAGAGAATTTATCAGAACAAATTTTCATTCAGTGTGAGACTATATGAAAATACTATTATAATGAACTCCTATTGCATCATTGTCTCATTTATCTGAAAATTGAACTTTATTCTGAAATTTATGCATGTCTCTCATTTTGATGTGGCACTTGGAATAATACTCTAAACGAGCCAATCAAGCAAAGCTCTTTTAATTCATTTGAGAGCCTTCTGATATCAGGACAAGGCTTCTTTTTTATAATTATTACCTCCGGTCCTAATTATTAGATATTCTTTGTAGTATACAAATGAAGTCTTATAAATAGGATCGGAGGTAGTATTTAAAAGATATATGTGCTGCTCATTAACGCAACTGCAAATTTTTACCTAGTTATTTCTCAAATTGTCAAGAAATCTTGTCAGAGAGTTTTGTTTTGTTTTTTGTTTTGTTTTGTTTTGTTTTTTTTTGGCCTCCCTCCTCAAAGTCAAAAGGATGTGTAGAGGTTCATCTGAGGTCTGGAGATTCCTTGCTAGTTACCGTCATGGTCTTTGCACTTGTTGACATGAACTTAATACATAGATCCTGTCCATATCTTAAATTTCCCCCTTTAGCAGTGGTTTTTCTATGCTTTAATTGTTAAATTTTAGCGCCACAATTATTTGGTTTATATAGTATTTGCTGCTTTATGAGTTCGGAATATACTGTATAATCCCTTTAACTGAGGCCTAATTGAAAAACTTGGTACAGAAATCAATATCAATAATACGATTTAAAATACATAATAACCTATTATTCCGCAAACTCCATGCAAAGCATGAGGGGCCTACATCTTGTCATAATATATTAGGTAAACATCTAGAGCTTATGTCTAAAATGATAATACCAAATCCTAATTAAAAGAGACTGCAAGAGGTTCCATGATTTTCACATGTTCTTTTATATTATGTCTGTATTTTCATCCCAACCTAAAATCATTTCGTGAAGATTGTTAGAGTGAGGAAGTGACATCCTTGCAGTTAAATTTAATGTTTTCTTGTCAATCCAACAATCCAAAAGGTTGAATTTTGTAATTATCTAATCGGTATAATTTAGTTGCTCATTATAGTTTTGAGTTGAAGATACATCTAATTTTACTATAGTGGATTGGCCATTCAACATTAGTTATTATTGATTATTCTATCAAGTTGTATATGACCGACTTGGTATTTCAAATAGGAAGTGTTCGATAAGGATCTTTTGAAGAGTGATGACAAGATGGGAAATGCCTTCCTCAACCTTCAACCACTATTCTCTGCAGCTAGAATAAGAGACGTTTTACGGGCTTCCTCCGGTGAAACAACAATAAGGAAGCTCGTACCCGACAGCGAAAACTGCCTCGTTCGCGAAAGCAGCATCAACAGTGTTAATGGCGAACTGGTGCAAAACGTTTGGTTACGGCTTCGGGGAGTTGAGTCTGGTGAGCTTGAGTTGACAATCAAGTTCATCACTCCGACCACTCCCTCAGCATAAGACAAACAAGTTCACTAAGGTTGCTTCCTCTGTATAATAGGGCAGATATTGTTAAGTGTTTCTTGTGTTAGATCTCTTCTCAAGATCATAATTGTAACTTTGTGTGTGTAGTTTCATTTTTCTTCTGATTAGCTTCTTACATGTATCTTTCACTGTAACAAGTGGTTTGTTTATGGCTTCTTTGGTCTCTATTGTGTTGTGATTTCTTTTCTCCTTGCTTTAATCTTCCACACATGTAGAAGTTGGGCTTTCATTCGAGAAGTGAAAATTTATTTAGTGTTTGCTTAAATTTCGGTGTCTTGATATATTACTCCTCCGATTCTTGATATAAGATCTAATTGTTAAGTTGATTTTAGTCTTAAATATAAGACCAATTTTTCATATTTATCAATTTTTTTTAAATTATTCTTATACATACTTTTTCAACCATAATCAAATAGAAAAGGGAAGGAGGACATTAAGAAAGATGATTATGATGTTTTAAGAAAAATATGTTATTTTTTTATAATTAATCAACTTACGTGACTTTTTTAATCTAATCAAATTAGTTAAATGGATCTTATATTAAAGATCGGAAGAGTAATTCAGATATTTTATGTTATTCTGATTGCTTGAAGTAGCACGACAACTCAGGAGCTTGACAGAAGCTATAGTCTAAAGAATATACAAGGGACTCGAAAAAATTATATATAATACTAAATTGTTAAAATTACTGGGGCTTTTTATTTTAATATTCCTCAAATTATAAGATATATTTTTTAAACTTCACCAATCCTTATTGAAATACAGAGTAAATTATAAACACGCTATAAAAATAAAAATAGTTCTAAAAATAAAAAGGGAAATTAAACGGTGTTAATTGAGTAAAATTCTAGGAAATTTGCATATTTTCAATTTTTAGAAAAACTCTGTAAATTTTAAATCAAAAATTAATTCAATGTAAGTTAATAAAATTTAAAGCATACGGGTAATCAATCATTATGTATATAAATGCAAGGGTCTTAGCAACATTTACAACAAAAAGCCAACTAAGGTTCTTTCAAAATGATTTATAAGTAGTTTTTTAATTATGATTTACAGAATATGAGGTTAGTGCGTGATAGGAGTTTCATCTTAATTTACGTCAAATGTGTTCATAAACACTTAAATAAGCTAATCCAAATAGGCATGTAGACGATTTCTGTATTGGCTAATAAAAAATATCCATGTAATCTATATCTTAACCGTTATATTAACTTCTTGTGTATTACTTAAATTTAAAATTTAGAAAAGTTTTGAAAAATCACAACTTCATAACCCATAATCAATCATTTCAATTTGAATTTATAACTTAAACAATTTACATTTATTTTACATTGTTTACATCAGAATTTATATATATACACACATATATTAATTTTCAATTTCATTCTTTCATCACAGTTATCTTATTCTTGGCATCCAATGTATTATTTAAAATTAAAATTTAAAAAGCTCAGAAATAGTATAAATGCTTTCGTGGTGAAAATTGGTTATTGCTTGGAAGAAAAACTGCTTCCATCAACCATGAAACAATCATCTGTTTATCTTACATCAAATTTCTTTAATTTTTAATTTTTTTATTCCATAACTTGCATCATGTTATTACTTTTTCAGGACGTGGCATCATACTATCATGTCATAACTTCACATCCTTGGAGCACATTGACGTCAAAGTCAGTCCCGAAGCCACAAGCCACAAACATTGCCTCATCTCCCTCAGTGAGATTTTGTATCTCTCGCTCTCAGTATATATATCTCTCAAATTTAACCCAATCTCTGTTATATTCTGCTTGCTCCTGATAGGCTTCGATTTTTTTCTCATCATCCCTGATTTTGGTATTCTGAACAAATCATTTTAGATAGTGGTGTATCTATGGCCACATCATTATTTGACTTAGTTTGATTTTTGTATTAGGTTTTTGGGTTGAATTATTGCTATTCACTTCTGAGCATTGCTTGATTTCCGAACTTCATTTGAATATTATGGGCCTGTAACAAAATCTTGTAGGTTTGGTTTCTGGACACCTTTCCCTTGGGTCTTCGATTGCCCAAGTTATAGTAAAAGAAAGTGTTACATGTCCAACAGCTTCAATGCAATGCTAGTCAATGGAGAACATGAAATAAGGGACCTTGACAAGTGTTGTTTTAATTTTTGTGCCCAGGTGATATCATATCATATAGTAGAAGAATTCATCATATACATTACTCCTCCTAACTTTAGGCCATCATTAATGCAAATTCCATTTGACATATATACCAATACACAAATAAATATAATGTCATTGTAAACAAAGTACAAAAAAAAAATAATTACAACTCTAATCATATGCTGTTACATACATAAGCACGCTTGAAAAGCTACAAGCACATGGCTTGCAATTCCATTACCCGGAGGCATGCTTGAAAAGTTCCCATCTAATATATAAATGAGTGATGACATACGCCAGCATACTTGGAAAAGAAAAAAATTACTTAATGATTCACATGATTTGCTTAACAACAAGCATATATGCTTGAAATGATTAAACAAAGGTTCTAATAATTTAAGCACGACATGTCACATCTTATTATCGGATCCACTTAGGGTTTAATAAAAACCATTTTAGACCACATTGGATGGTTTTGGGCTTAAAAATTCATGAAAAATGCTGATTTTCGGATTTTTACTGTTCATGGGGTAAAAATCCAGTTTTCTGGCCCAACTTAAAAAATTCATAACTTATTCCATAAAAATCGAAATGAGGTGGTTCAAAATTCTATTTAAATATCTTTAAGTCCTCTTTCAAGGAAAAATAATATCGTTATCCAATTCCTTATGAAAAAGTGTCAGGTTTTTGTGAAAGGTAACATTATCCATTTGCCAAAAGCTCTTTTTCCAGATTCTGAATCTTAACTTTGAAAAATCATTAAAAATCGTATACTTGGCCATTTGTAACGTGCTGCCTATCAATCTGAAGTTCAGGACGTCAACTATAAGCATACCAAATTTCGTGCTGAAATTCGTCCAGTAACTAAATAAACCATGGCTCTAAACTAACATCCTGCTTAAGGGTTACAGCACCAACCATTGATAAATATACATAACCAAATGTCCACGAAAATTTTATGGTATGACACCATAATTAGCCTCCATTCTGCAGCTTGCTCTTGAGAAGTTCAGGCACTAAAATGTTACATTATTTTTGGGGGATGAGATTTTTGAAAATCCCAGTAGCAAGATCAATCAACCAAAACATTAACATGCATCAATTACAAGCATTCCAACCTTTTGCTATTAATAGGGAACTACTTTACCTCATACATGTAGCACTCTAACATGCAATAGCCAAGGCACATAAAGCAAGGAGTATAGCTACACAATCATCATCATCATCATCATTTAGTTCAACCACATAATAGCACATGAAATTGCATAGCAATCAATGCAACATTCAACATTAAGGCTAATTAAATCTTACTACCTTAATCCAATGCTCTTTGATTTTCTTGTTCTTCTTTCTTGCTTCCACAAATGCCAAACCCTAACATGGCAATCCCCAAAAAGGGCAGCAAGTATTATTAAACATTCCACATAAAAATCAATCACATAACTCAAGAAGCTCCTAAACCCCTTAAAGCCTCTATCTTTGTTTCTTGAATTTTTAGAGTTGTTTTCCATAAACCCTAAAAATTCTCCCTTGACCCTTTCCTACATGGTTTTTCATGTAGATTCCAAATATCTACTTAGATTTAACAAAATAAATTTTCCTCTTCCAGTTTCAGCTTGACCGAACCCTTAGGGTTTAAAACTCAAAAATTGCAACTTTGCTTCCATGGCTTCCAACACTTGTTCTTTAGGTTTACCCTACACCATTTTTCATTTTGAACACAATGGAAGCCTCAAAACTTTGAAAAACACATCCTAGGGTTCAGATCTTGTCTTGGCCGAAAATGACACTCAAGGAAGTAACCATGAAAAATGCTTCAAAACCAACTATAATCACTTGCAAACACTAGGATCTAGCTTGTGTTGTAGTATTTTAACAAGTGTGATGAGCAAAACTCCCTTTCCCCTTAAACAACCAGTTCGGCCAGCATCAAAAGAGGGAGAGAAGACATATTTTCAACCATAAAAGAGAAAGAAAACAAGGCAAGAACACATCTAGAGCCAAGAACTCACCTTGAACCTTGATTGTATGACCAAAGTTGATGCCTTTCTCTTGGTTTTCCCTCAAAACTCTCTCTTTTTCCCTCTCTTCATGCCTTGCACGAAATTCCCATCTGATTTAGGGGAGAGATGAGCTCATCAATGCTATCAAAATATCCCATCTACCACAATTAATGAAGAGCCAAGTGTCATAAGCCTACTTAGTCTTGCATTTTCTCTTTAATTAACTTAATTCACATTGTAATTAAATTCCAAAGTCAAGATCCTCTCCATTGGCAGCTTGACACTTGGAAAGCTCTAATTATCATCCATTAAAGGCTTGACAAGTGGTAGCTTATGGGCCAAGTAAAGTGCAAGGCTCCGATCAACACTTTATCGGTGCACTTTTACTCCGGGTTTAACTTCTTTTCTATAATTACAGTGCTCTGGCCTCTGTAATTATTTTCTCTCAGATCCATAAATTATTCTCCTTATTTTTATCTTCCCAAATTTCCCTCTTTGTCTCAAATTTAATTTCCCAATAATTAAATAAAAAGGAAAACTATTTTCCTTCTCTTTAGTGATTTTTCCACTTTTCCAAAGAATTGGAAAAAATCCTGGATACTTGAGGGTCTTCTTTTAATTTTATAATATCTTATAATTCCTTGGGATTTCATAGGAATTTTCTTGGGATTTTATCCTTCTTAAATATATTTATTTGGAATTTTTCAAATAAGGACCTTAAATTAGCTTAAATTGCCCTTAAATTCCTTTGTAATTTCTCTAAGGGCAAATTGGTCATAAAACTAATTTTATAATTCCATATAATTCTCAAGGAACCTTGTCCTTATTTTTCCTTAATTTTCTGAGACTTGGAATTATTTTTCCCCTATTTACTCTTGACCAATTTTCCTTAATTAGTCAAACTTTTCATAATTGGCTTGGAAAATTATAATAATTATTTTCCACCCAAAATTCTTCTATTACTCCTTGTCATTTTTGACCCTTAATTATTTATGAATATTCCTATTTTCAAATACCATATTTCTGGATGTGACACGACACACATTTTTAATCCAACTCTCTCACACTCACAGATAGTGATGTGATCCTGGAAGCAATGATGTCAGTCTGTATAAGCT